ATTTGAATATGAAATTTAAAACTTATGGAATCTCCTTCTTGCCATCGAGAGAAGATGTCGTTAACAAATAAGGACAGAATTTTGATTGAATTCTAATTGTTAGATGATTGATGCCAAGTTAAATTAACTCTCTCATCTGCATTATAGCTTCAACGATCGATCTTCCAATTAAAAGAGGCAGAGAGGATTTGAATGTTTGTTTCATATCCATACATTCCCAATTGCATATCCAGTGCTGCTCACGTTCTCCCTTTTGTAAAATCAATTTCCCAATCATGAGAAAGATAAAAAGAAGTGGGTACTTTATATATTCTTTATATATATACATCAGACGACGAATTTGAAAGATAAAACCAAAGTTGAGAAATCCCAAAAAAAAAAATCCAAATTGAAAAGTTGTATTCATGCACTTTGGTGAGCTATTGAAAAAGACTGCCATGGCAGCTAAACTCAAAGTTTAAATTTATTAATAGCCTATATTTTTCTGGTGGAAATTAGAAAAATAAACGTCAATGCCATGGCTCAATGGTTCAAACAGCTAGCTTTGCTTCTTCCTTGTTTCGTTTTCAAAATGTCAAATAATACCATCATTTCTCGGAAAATGCTGTGGCCTAACAAATGACACGACAATACAAAATTTCGAGACCATGCACTTAAATTATATACGAAAATTAATCATATTTCAATAATTCTAGGATATATATATAGATGGAAATGTTACACTTTTTTTTTAATTTTTGACCCACGTTCCAACTGAAGGAAACATGAAAAAATAGGAAGGCTGGCTAGTTGGATGTTTGTTGCTAATCATTGAAGTTCATCCTTGTCAGATTGTGGTTAAGTTTTGAGAGGGTCAAGCCCAAAATCTGCCGAATTCAACATCAAGAATGAGCCCAAAATCTGCAAATTTTTTTTTTTTTTTGCTAACATAAATTTTTTTTTCTTACCCTTTGAACAGTTTCAATTTCTTCAGAGATTGTAACTTTTGGCATCATGATGGGAACATGATTAATGAGTTAAATCTGACTTTCATACAGTAGGTTACGGTAAAGGAAAGGGTAACTTTTAATCATAAAAGTGCAAGAATATTCCCGCAAAATGATTTTCTTAAAAAAAAATCTATGATTACAGTAGAATTCATCAGGCATTTTTAGCAGTTTTTTTCTTCCACTAATTGATTGATTATTAAAACTAAGCTCACTAAACTAAACCACTCCAACTTTCTTTGATTTTATTTCTTAAAGATTAATCACTTGGTGACACCAATTCCAACTTCCCACAAGGATACAATGTTCAATAAACTAGCATAAAATATGCATCAAATCTTCAATTCTTTTAAAGAGAATCTATTAATCTTGACAGAGTAAAAAAGTTTCGAATGCAGAGAGAGGGATGGCTCCACTTCAAGTTAGGCATATTTGATGACCAATTGATAACAGTAATTTTTCTGCAAATGAAATGCAAAACTAAGGAATTATAATAAGTGAAGGAAATTACATGCAAAGTGCTAATGGAGAACAAGAAATAAATTTAGCTTAGGTTTGGATTTCATTGCATTTTTGATGCAATGTGATTGAGCTCATAACATCATTAATTGAATCCAAATTCCAATTTCAGTTAAATCTATTTAGTATAAATTTTTTATTGAAAATTTTTTCAATCAGTAATATTTTTTTTTTCAATCATAATTACAATAATTTTTATTATTGTTTTCAATCTTATTAAAACTAATTTTATCATCTATTTAAATGCAATCTTAATCTTCCACCAATAAAAGGTAAAGAAAAGAAAATGAACTTCATAATGAAAAAAAAGGTGTCAAATTATAGATCACATGAGATTGAGACTTCAGAAAAATGGCAGCCCACATAAAAGAAATACAAACAAATAGTGGTAGGATCAACAATTATGTTGAAATTGTGGCTTCCCTGCCGTCAGTCTAGTTAGGTTTCTTCTAAGACACTGGTGAAAGTAACAGAACATGAAAATGGGGTCATAGCAGAAAAACATATGAAATTTGTCAAAGATAAGGGGTGGGGTAAAGTTTGTGAATCTTTAGATAATGACAATATTGTGGGCTATCCAACTTTATTTGGTTGAAAAAATCCATAGAAATTTTATAATCTGAAGAACCTGGAAAACCAAGGAATTCACATCAGGAACTGATTTTCTGATTATTTAATGCTGTTTGTCATGATTAATCTTGCACTAATTTGGAAGATTTTCAAAGCAACAACAAAAGTCTAATAGCACTACCAATGAGGAGGCTAAATCAACAGAGCAAGTAAAATGTTAACAATATTGCCAATTAGAAAGGTCAACAAATCCAAATCAGTAAGTCAAAAGGCAAAATAATCAAATTGAGATGGGGGTCACATCAAGATAATTATATCAAAGAAATTAGATAAGATGAAGCTCTCGAATGGTGTATGAAAGCTCCATGGTGAGAGAATTATATTTTCTGCTAGCTAAAAAAAAAAGCATTGCAGTTGGCTAAATCATGATGTTTACATACCAAAAATAAGCCTAGAAAGGCTAGAATCACACCCCCCCCCCTCCCCCACTTTCAAAGGTCCTACTTATAAAAGAATAATTTGCCAAAATTTTCTGCCATAAAGAGTGTGTTATCCATGTATTGAATGTCATCATATACAGATTTAATTTTCTGCCATAAAGAGTGTGTTATCCATGTATTGAATGTCATCATATACAGATTTGAATATGAAATTCAATGAACTCAGTTGTGTTCTCTTCAAAATAATAATAATAATAATGAAGCTGGTATCTCAGTGCAGTTTACTATTGTGTATCATCAACAATTTTCAATCTTTGTGCATCAACTTAAAAAATATTTGGTCGTTGGAGGGAATTTAGCAACAATAATGATATTAATATTGGCATGACAACTAGGTGTTTTAATCTTGGTCTTCCTCTCTGATATCTGCAATTGGATCTTAAACATAATTTACATGTCTGGTTAGTGGTTAGCCATATACAAACATAAATTTAACGAAATTGAGAACTCAAACAGAGGATACATTTCAAATCTGACCAACCCCATATTTTATCTGATTGCTTGAGTCAAGGGTCCTGAGTCACATAGGAAATCACAAAAAGGAACTGATTAGCATCAAAATTATCACTTGGTCTTCCAATCTATTGCTTGCTATGGAATTCATTTCATGCAAAAATGGAAGTGTGATTTTCACTATGTAAAGAGTAGGAATTGAGATGTAATCCAGTTGACTTCTATAATAATATATATAAGTTTGAAAATCAAAATTTAACATTTACAATTTTTTATGGCTTTTTTTATAAAAAAAATGTTATAGGTAATAATAGAAATTAATTCATTAAAACAAAACAGCACAATCTTATTAAGTTTTTACCACTTTTCAATGTCTGCCACTGAAGCCTGTCAATATCAACATGTATGAACTAGTGCATATAATTATAACATTTAAAGAAGTTTTAAAATCATTCTGATAAGTTTATTTTATGCTTCTAAATAATGAAATGATCTTGGAAAAAGTTTCTTTGATTGCGCCGCTCTTTTATGATCTAGTTTTGAATTATGCACCACATAAATTAATGAAGCACAACCAATGTTGTTGATTCTATCCAAAAATCCATTCCTTAGTAACTAATGCATTTCTTAAACCAAAATCAATATTTTTTCTTTTTTCATAATACGATTTTTGATGCGAGAAAGTTAGGTATAGAATTATTGAAATTAACGTCATTTGAAATCATTACTTAAACTAATTTTTTCGTTTAATTATTACTTGATGAATTAAGGAATATGAACAAGATTTCAGTACTTGTATGTTGAAAGCAGCAAGCAAGGAAGAACATCTCAGAAAACAAGAGCTTTCAATAAGCTGACAGCTGCCACTTTCAGCAGCTACCAAAATAAGGCTTCAGCACCAGAGTGGACTCGTAGCTGACTGCAACCCATCTAGGCAACCCTATAGACTGTAGCCGTAGAGCCTCCCTGTAAAGTTCAAAAGTCTTTAAATGCCCTTCTTTTTTCAGTCCTTTTACCACACACAGGAACGATCTGAAGAGCCAATTATATTTGGTCCTCCACTGCCAATAAGTGATCTAGTTTTGCCAGTCCAACGCAAACTGTTGAATTGAACTTGCTGCCAAAATGCTATTCCTCGAGCCTTGCTTGGATCGGTTGAATTACTGACTGCAATAGCAACAGCAAACATTATTTTGGTCTTTATTTCTACGGCCTTTGACATGTCCCTTTCTCATTTTACTCAAACAGAACTTGTCTTGCGGACTCCAAGATGTAAGGTTCTTTTGGTTGGATTTTGGGTTCTCTATGAACCTCGATTGTACCCATTTCTTCCATTGTTTCAGAGATCTTAAAAAGAAGATTCATAACCTAATGAGGTGAAGGCATGAACCACCTTAGCCAGAAGCGAAATCAAGGTTCCATTTTGGTCCAACGAACCAAACGAAACTGATAGAATTGTCCGTCCAATTTGATCTATTCCAATTATAAACTGATGAGATCTAAAGCATCTTATTTTTTGTACATATCCCCAATATAAGGATACCCAGGGGCTCCCATTGATTCCCCAAATAAAGCATGGAAAATGATATTTGCTCTGCTACATAGATCTGACTTGAAATGGCGGTTCTCTGACAATTGAGCTAAAATCTTGCATAATAAGTTAAAAGTCACCTTGGGTGCTAAAGCTCCAAATGGTCCAAAAAAGTAACACTGAGAAGAACATCTTAGCCAACAACTGCATGATCCGTCAGTAAAATGCTGAATTTTAGTTTCGATATCTAGATTCAATCCTCGTAGCTTCAAATACCAAAGAGAGATTTAAGCATACTAATCTGATTGTCACTGAGTTGATGTACCAAGCCAGCTAAGGTTACTCCTAGCTTTTGAATAAGGCACCAACTAAAAAAGGCAGGAATTTTGAAAGGGAATCACAATTGAAAATACCGACATGATATATCACAGGTCATCAACAGATGAAACAGAACAACTGGGTCGCTTTCCGATCAAACACACATTCAACAGAATACAATACATCTTAAAGATTACAGGTTCCTATGTGGATATATAATATCCACAATCACTAATTTTCTTAACACTTTGAACAATCATCATAAACTTGTAACAAACATAAAGTAACACTAATTCTTCATGCAATCAAAACATAGATGAGATGGAATACGAGAAGATCTTCATTCTGCACAAGGCACCCTGCAAGTTTCAGCTCTCAATTATCACAGTTTCCTGGAATTTTCGCTTCGAATTTGGCAATGGGGAAATTAACGTTCATATCCAGAGTGTCTTTCTAGTTGCTGATCTTGGATTTCTCCATCGCTCGAGGAGCTGTAGACTCACAGATAATATGGTTAACATTAGCCTAAAACTTTGTCCATCTACAATTCAAAAGGAATTGGAACTATCACAAGCTACATGATGTGAAACCAGAGGAGACAATTCAGAATCGACAGAGAGAAATGATATGTAAACTAGCAAGAACAAGCGGCCCCTGCCTTTACCCTAATGATAAAAACTACTACATGAAAACACCATAAAATCCACTCATTGTAGCTGCCTTAAAAATGAGCTCAGAAGTCAAAGCATAAGCATCTTAGCTGCATACATGAATATGATGACTGGTACACCTCCCATTCAAAAGACCACCAAAAATTGTTAATTGGAGTACAAAACATAAATCTAGATACCAGATTTACTCTCCACATGATTCAATTGTAAGACATAAGAGAATTCAATTTAGGTAATACTCCTCCACACACAACCCTCCGGTTTTTCATTTTATCTTTATCTTTAGAACATTTGACAGGATATAATTTGATCAGTGCAGACAAATCCAGAACTAACAACACATTCAGATTTGCACATAAAGATAAATACAAACCAAAACTGAAAACACGTGCATGCATCCCATTTCCCACAACGAATTGATGTACAAACAAATAATATGATCAGTCTGATCCATTCCAAGGAGATCACTAAACCAAATATTACTTACCTAATCCAATAGCATCAGAGCTCTTCATTATTTTCAACCTCTTGCAAGTTTCAATAAACATCCTGCAACAAAATCAAATCACGGTTCAGGAGAAGGTAACCTGAGTGAGGAAATCTCAACCTATCAGCAGTTACAGTTTTATTATGGAGTACTCCATCGAGCTTCAACGAGGGGAGAAATATTATTAAATAAAGATCAAGTTGACAGCCACCGAACAAATCATGCATGTATCATATAATGCCTGTCCATCAGTGTGTAGCATTAGAATCTAGATTCTCAAGCAAGACAAACTAGCCTATGACAATCGAAAAACCAGCCCTAGATCTAGAAGAAATAAGAATAAACAAAATCAAAATTCCTTTAAAAAGAGATAAATTTTCAAGTTCGTTCGGCCTTTTTTTATCAAAAAGGAAGGTTCAAACTTATTTGTATAGATTTATTCTCATTTTACCTCTTTGTGGGAAAGGAAACTAATGTCTCAAAGAAACTTTCCTGAAACCCATATTATGACTCAAACAAGCCTATTCAACTTTATCCTGCTTGGTTATTATAATCTTGTAATATTTTCTGTCAAAACTTGGGGATATGACTTGAGAATTTTCTCCTTTTTGGTATAGTAATCTAACAAGTAAATGAAACCATCCTACTCATTCCTTCAAGAATTAAATCTGATTTTCCATTAAAGGTGATGTCAAAGGAAATTATTATAAAGTCATTTCCTACCATCCAACATTAAACATATCACATGTCCAAAGTGGAAAACGCAATGGACTTACATTATTGCAATTAAAAGTATATGAATGAATCCAATGGAATTCTTAATTCTTCTATATAAAATCTATCAATTTCAACAACACAAGTAAATCCATCAATTTCGACAATAGAAGTTTTAAATATGCAGCATTCACATATCATATTAATTTCAGTATCTTTCAGTAAGGAAGATATGGATAGATAAAAAATGAATATCAGACATAAACTATATCTATTAATCCATAGGCCTCCCATTGACAAGAAATAAGAAAGCCAAGGTGCAAAGTGGAAAAAGTAATAATAATACATAGACATGAATCCAATGCTTTCACATATTTGCAGTCATTTGCATCAACATGAACTATAACTCTAATCAGAGAGAGTCAGTCTATGTAAGATATTCCAAAAACTTCTGCCCATGCAATTTAGGATTTTACAAAGAAAGCAATTATGGAAAAGACAATATTAAGGCAAACAGTAATTTTGAGTGACTGAAGCTTACTCCCATGGAACATCTCCGACGAGCATCCAGTCACCATCTTTATCTTCATATGTTAGAACATATTCTGATCCATGCAAAAGATCCTTCAACTTGCTCTCACTCAAGATTTCCTTCCCAGGAGCAACGTGAGACCCACATTGACCTGAAATCATAATGAAAATGTGGTAACCATATCTATGCCAAACATTGGAAATTTTCCTTTATTTAAAACACAGATAAGCACATTTCTTGCATCAAGAAGGATTCAGCTTGATATTGCCACAGGGCGAAGAGTGCAGCAACAACTTACCAAGGGTAAAACAGCCAAACATCTTCTCAAGAGCAGAAGACAGTTCCCGATAAGTTGAATAAGTTCTCAAATCTACCTTCCTCAGATAAGGAGCCCCATCCATACTGACCTTGATAAAGAGAGCAGCAGGACCAGGTTTTCCATCAACTTCATCATTGTTCTTTGAAGATGTGGCTAGTGTTTTAGTCCTAAATGATCTGATTGGTGGCCATCCAACAACCTGTGCCCTGTCAAGGAAGGCATATCACAAGAACAATTAAATAAAAGAGGTCAAGATATAATGTCATTTATCCTTCCAAAGATTAAGAGTTCATTCTCAAGTAAATTATACTTACTTGGCAGCAGGTGCACCGCTGTTGTTGTTAGAAATGCCAGTTTGGTTGAGGCTGGTTCCACCAATGGCAAGAGGTCGTTCTTTTAACACATTTGCAGGCCCATCTTTCTTTACAGATGTTTGAGCTCCAGAAGATCTTGTTGACAGCATCACATTAACCCCTGAATTACCAGGATATTTTCCATGTACCACAGGTTGTGGAGATTCAGAATCAGAACCAGCTCCATGAAATATCCAATTTTTTTCAGTGTATACAGTGCCTTTCACCTCAGAGAATCCATCTATGGTGTCAGAGAACCCCCTTTTGTTTCCAGTAACGACACCTTTCTGTGATGATGAACAGATCCGATCCTTGGAAGGAAGTAAAGGAAACAGTGGCTTCTCATCAAGTTTTCCAGAGTTCAGCAAGCAAAGCTCTGTTTCTCTCTCAGGGGATTCGGATCCAGGAAGACCAAGCCTAAGCTCTGTAGCCTTCAAATTCAGATTACTCTTGTTATCCTCAGGCAAGCTCGAGACAGCAGAGCTGTCAACTGAAGAACAATCTGATAATCCAAGATAATTCCGCTCCTTTAGCCCCGTGCCATTCTGGGAGATACAATCAACAGAGGGGGTAGAAACATTACTCTGCCCTTCCTCCTCCACGCCCAGCAGAGGTGGAGACATCAGAACTCAAAACTTCCCAAAATTGTCTCTTTTACCGCATGGAAAACAAAAAACAAACCAAAAAAAAAAAAATCAAACTTTAAACTCATTTCAAGAATATCACCTTTTAAGCCAAATTATACAAAAAAACCACAAGATAGAATACCACTACCCCACAATAGATCACAAACTTCTCACAAAGTAATCTAACCCAAGCCATCATAAGCACTCTTTGAATCCAATAACATCATCTAAGAAACTCACTTAAACCCAATTTTTTAAACAACTCCAGCTGCCACAATTGATTAATTTGAATCATTTTAATTGCTTCTAACGGTCAAAACTAATGAAAGTTTTCACTTCCTAAAGCTCAAAAAATGGCGTACGGCCCATCTAATCTGCTTTCAACCAATCCAACTTCATAAAAATAAATTGCATGCAAATGAAATATCCAAGTAGATTACCAACTTCAACAAATACCTCTTAACATGCGGAGACTAATTACTAAACCGTGATTTACCAATAAAAACAGTGCAGCAAAAACTGAGTCAAATTTTAAAAGAATCTTAGAAAAAATAAACTCCTCTTAATATTATTGTCCAGTAGGTTGCTGACATCTAAGAAAGAATAGAGCTTAAAATAAAAACAAATGAAAAATAAATACGTGAAGCTTAAATTTTGTTTAGCTAGTAAAAAAATAGAAGTCCACTAAAGTCTTACTGTCTTATGCATTTAATCTTTTCAGGAGAGTTGAATTTTTCCTTTTTTTTTCTACAAAAAACAAAGCAGAAAAAAAGAAAAAAAAGTACTAATCTGCTCTCCTTCCATTTTCCTCTGTTTTCCCGGCAACCAAACAGAACAAACTGATAAAACCAAAAAAAAAAAAAAAAAACTGGAGACCTTACTGTTGAAATGAGCCAGAGCTGCAAAACAAAAAAAAAAACAAAAAAGGAAAAAATTTGTAAATCTAAATAAAATTTTCAAAAAAAAAAACTTACCCGAAAAAACAAACTTGGTGAATGAGACAAAGAGAAGAAGATCGATTACTGCTTTCAAAAATTGCAGGCGAAAATGCACGAACTGCAGAGGAAATAAAAGCAAAGAAACAACAAGAGAGAAAATGAGGTTAAGGTCCTTCCATTAAGCAGAAAGCAACAAAAGCTATTCACCGAGAAACTCGAGAAGTTAAAAAAACAAAAGTGGGGGCAAAAGAGAGAATAAGCACAAAAAGTCGTGTAAATTTTTTAATCTCTTTGAAAGAATGGGACCATGTCGGTTTTACACTGCGCCGATCTAGAAGCTGGAGTGGGGGAATCTGATCTAACGGTTGAGATTGGTTTCCTTGACGGAGGATCTGGACCGTTTGATTTTAGAAAATAATTTAGAAAATGAGTATCTGTTGTTGTTACAGGTGGTAGATTTGAGGAAGGATGGTTTTTGATTGCCTTTTCTGGTTCCTGGTTCAGTGACTGGGTTTTGAATGTATAAAATGTCGTTTTTGCCCTTGTATTAAATTAAGTATTGTAGCTTTATTCTGATGGATTAACAAATGGCAATAAGGACAAATTATTTTTGTACTCACTTAAACGTATAGTATATTTCATGTATCATTGGTCTCTCGTAAATTGATTTTTTAAGTATGTATTTAAAAGATAGATAATACATAATTTAATCTCATATTATTAAAACACTTACAAATTAATTTAGTATTAATAATATAAATAGGGGTTAATGCAAATAATTAAGATCTATAATTTGAATGTAAAATATTTAAATTTAAATTTTTACGATCTTTATTAGTAAATAATTTATAAGTATGAAAGTTATTATTTAAATTATTCATATCAATTTTTTAAATTTTTAAAATTTTCTTTTGTATTTTAGTTTATTACAAATTGAATGTAATTACTAGATTTTTAATTAATTGTGAATTTTTTGTATATCAAATGTAAAAATCAAAATCACTTTTTGGGCTTTTGATGCCTAAAATGCCTCAACATAATTATATTCAATATAGCAAATATTTTCCAAACAAAAGGAAAAATGAAATGCATTGCTATATATATATATATTATTATATAAAATACCATTACAAATGTGCTTCTAAATTTAAAAGTAAATAATAGAAAACCCATATAAAATGAAGAAATTAGAATAATTTATATTTCAAATTTATCTTTATTTTACATTTTAAGCAATGAGAGTTGGCAATTTTAGATTGGGATTTTTTCATTCTTTTTTTAATGCTTGATGCTTGAGTTTGCTTACTTTGTTGTTGTTGGAAATTTTCCTCTTATCTCCAAATATTATTGGTTAAGATACTCTTGGCATAAAGACAAGAACAATCAATTAAAAAAGCATTGAAAGATGTCTTAGGAAAATTTGCAGCTGTTTGACCTTGAACTTGAGTTCTACATAAAATGGCAACAATTTGGAAGAAATGACAATAGTTGGCTATCTACCCACCATAAATGTAACCTTCAATATTTTACTCCCTCCGTTCTAAAATAATTGTCCCCTATTGATTTTTTCGGTCAAAATAATTATACTTTGATTTTATTTTTTGAAATATAATATTAAATTAAAATTATAAAAATATATATTTTAAAATTTTAAAACTCAAAGTTTATAAATCTTATTTTAAAATTTTTTATTTTATTATTTTATAAAAAATAATAATCGAAAGTTAAATTAGTTTGACAAAAAATATCAAAAAGAGACTAATTTTAGAACAAAAGGAAGATATAGAAAGTCAAGATCGAAGAAAAAATTATAAGTGTATTGTAGTAACATACTTGATTTCTGTTTAAAATTTAACTTTTTTTTTTTACTTTTTTTGTTGCGTAAGTGAAATTTGACAATTTTTTTTTTTAATGTTCAAAGCATAGTATTTAAGTGTGCGTGCATGGTTAAATTTTATTCTACTTTTCTAGTGATATTTGATAGTAAAGTTTTAAAAAATAGAAGACATTCAAATCTTAAATTTTAAAGCTCTTAAAGAAGAGTAACAATCTTTTTCTTTTTTTTTTTCTAATTATAACAATCATCAACTTAAATCTGATTGTTATTTTATATTTGTTGAAATTAATGGCATACTAACATATAATTAACAATTTAATAACAATTTATCAAATAATTGTCATATTTAATACATATTTAATAACAAAAAAAATATATAAACTACAATCAATGCCTCCTTTGAATAAAAAATATATCATTTCAATCTCCTTTCTAATTATTAAAACACTGCAAATTAAATTAGATTTAAAAAAAAAAATGACTCGACCGTAATGAAAAGTTGACTAGTTGACTTAATTTATGAATTCATCTATCTCAATTGTAAAAAGCATTGGATTCGAATCCAATATTACCTTTAATCCGTAAATGCATTAACCTTAAAAGGTAAGACTCATTAATCTTTCCATTGACACAAAGGTGGAACAAAGAAAAAGGAAATGTACCAAGTTTGAAAATAGTAAATATATAAAAATAACAACTCTTTATAGTCAAGAATTGGTACAGCTGATAAAGAATGAATATAAAAAATTGAATTTTTTTAAGATTTTTCGTTGATAAAAATTTAATAAATTTATAAATTTTAATTAATTTAACAATTTATCTTGATCTAAAAAATAAATAACCTCCATTATTCCTAATATTTTCCTAAAAGGAAAATTTTCTTATATTCTCGCACTAAATTGTAAAAAGATTTTTGTGCAAAAAATAATAGTAAAAAGAAAAGAATTGAATAAAAGAGTTACATGAAAGGGTAAACGTGGAAAAGAAAAGGGCGGTGGGGAATCATTGAAGAGCATTAAATGTGGGGGAAGATCAGGGGTCAGAAGAAAACAGGGGGAAGAGCGCTGATTGGGGGACAAGAAAGCGGCATTTTGAAGTCGGCTTGCCGGGTGGTGACCAGGACACCTGATCCTTTTTTTTCTTTCCTAATCACTTCTTTTCTTTTCCATCATTACCCCCTCTTTCTCTCTTTCTACACTGTTTTTTTTTTTTTTTTTTTGTGTTGATTAAAAATAATAAAATAAAAAAATATATTAGTAATGACTGATGAGCAATTATGTATAATTATTAAGACTTTTTTATATGTTTTTATTTTAAAATTTAATTATAAACTCATCAATGGATAATTGTTTAAAATAACAAATTATATAAAAATAAGTTATTGATATCTTTTGGAATAAAAAAAATAAATATGATAATTTATATATTTATTTTATATAAAATATAAAATTTTATATATTTATATCATATTTTATATAAAATTTAACGTCTATACAAACATATAAGATATATTTTTAATTTTATTAAATTTATATATAATAATTATTAAATTATTAAATTTTATTTTTATATTATATCATATTTTAAATTATAAGAAATTTAAAAAGACATTTCCTTACTTTCCTTTCCTATAGCATCATTAGCAACTGCAACTGCTTGAGCACGCTTTGGGTCAAAGGCTCCATTCACCGCCGCTGAAGTCCCGTGCATGCCACACAACCCCCCCACCCTTCATCACCCTCGCATCACCTCACGTCATTCCTTGGGATTAAGCCATGCTTCCTCTGTTTTGCTTTGTTAATGCCATTGGATTATGTCTCCAATTTGCTACGGAAGCAAAAATTGGTAGCAAACGATGTAATTTTTTTAATTAAAAAAATAGAGAGTAATGCAATAAATTCACATGCTTCTTTTTCTAATGAACAAACACTTTAAACTCTAAAGTTACCACATATAAATGAAGTTGCAGAGTAATGTAATAAAGCACTAGTTTACCACTAGCGATATCCTAAAGCCAGATCATCTGTCTAGCCCTGGACCTGACTTAACTCAAGCGAGACAATGAGTATGGGCTTGACTCAACTTAAAATGTTGTTTTATTATTTAATTTTAATTTTAGTACATATCTTAAAATATTAAGATAATTATTATTTAAATTGAATATCACTAATCATGATCGTGTTTTGGTTAAACTCTCAAAATAAATCAATCAAATATAATCTAAACTGATCCGATCAAATCATGAATATCTATGTTCCAAATAACCAATACAAATATTGGTAGGATAAACGGAGCACAATGGTACGTACATGAAAAAGATATTATGAATACAACCATAGTGAATGAGGCAAAGAGAATAAATTTATTATATTAAAACATAAACCCTTTAAAGCTGCGGCCTTTTGCTTTAACAGCCACAGATTTTGCGGGGCTGTGCCACGACATAGGGACCCAATGCCGGGTGATCTCCACTTTTGCCGGTGACATTTTCGCTTAACCCTGGTTAACCCCAAAAGTCCAAAATCTTAACCATGATTAATTAAAGAAAATTTGGTTTTATCGTTTTGATCTTGAGTTTGAAGGTTCCAAAGCAAATTAGAACCGTCGGATTAGAGTCATGGACGTGGTCAATAAATCCCTGGCTCTGATTGATCCAACGAGAAAATGACACGCGTCGGTTGGACTTAAGGAAAATAAAAGGCACGTGGCCAGCAACTGGCAATGGTGGTCAATGGTTTTATGAGAGATTGTGGGGTCCGCTTTATCACGTACGTATCTGATGGCTCACGTGTGTATGTATTCGTGTTGTTCTTCTCAAGCTTTTTGACTTTTACGATACATATATTTTTCTTTTTTCTTTTTAATTTATATTTATATATAGCTTTGAACTATGAATTTTTTTGTAGTGGAAAAAATAAAAAATAAGGATATATATATGTGATTGAAAGTTGAAACGTTGTGAAAATAAATTTTGTGAATGTATTTTAAATTGTCCAAAAAAATTACTTAAAAATTTTATACTATAAAATTTGAATTTCAAAACTTAAATCGAAAGAAAAGCATTTTGTAAGGGCTTTTGCTTTTCTGATCAGAAACTTTTTTTTTTGGGTCACAGTTGTTGGTTAATTGGCCCAGC